CCGCCATGAAAGGTGGCAGCGGCGGGGGGCGCAATGGTGCGGGGTGGGGCTGCTGCTGATGCGGGGGCAGCGGTGCCGCCACTGCGCTTGGGTTTGCAGGCTGCTGCGGCGGCGCGCCGGGTAGTGGGGCAGCCTGCGTGGCAGCCTGTGGCGGCGGCCCTGCAGGCGCTTGCTGCTGCACTGTTTCGTCGTCGTCATCTGCAAACAGGTCCAGCACACGCGTCTGGATGGTCTCAGGCCCGGCCCCAGCGCTGGCCCCTGCACCAATGCCTGCTGCGGCGGCGTGGCTGCCATTGGTGGCGGCCGCCAAGTCTGCGCTGCCCCTAGCTGCCTGCGGCCACGTTGGCGGTGCGTTCGCTGCTGAGGGTGCGATTGAGGGTACCTCTGCCGATGCTGCGGCCGCCGCCGCTGCCGCTGGTGGTGGTGGTGCTGCTGGTGCTGCCGCTCTCGTCACAGCGGCGGCCGCCGCGGCTGCCAGGGCGGGCGGCAGGGGCGCGCCGGCAAAGGGGTTGGCGAGGGGCACGCTGCTTGCGCCCTCGTCTTCTGAAGAGCTGCTGCCGGTGCCGCCGCCCTTCGCTGCGGCGCCTGCAGCCGCTGCGTTCCCCACAGAAGGCGGGGTGCTCGCGTCTGCTGCTGGCAATGGGACAGGGGGGGGGCCTGCAAATGGGTTGGTGGCTGCTGCGCAAGGCGGGCTGGTCGTGGCCGCGAGGCGCGACACGGGAGGGCCGGACGAGCGCGCCGCGGCCGACGCAGCGTCCCCAGCGGGCGCGGCCGAGGTGCTCGCGCGCGGTGGCGGCTGCGAGAAGAAGGGGTTGGAGTTGCTGCTGGTGTTGAAGGAGTCCCCGGTCAACAGGTCAAAGTAATGCCTTGGCTGTTGACCCATTGACACAGAAGCGACAGAGGCGCCCGTCGCCACAGGCGTTAGCAGCGGGTGTGCTGCCGGCGCCGGCGCCGGAGCCGGTGCGGGGCGAGCGGTGGCCACTGACAGGGCCGAACCCGTTTCCCGCAGCAGCGGCGCCCTTTCTCCAACGGCCCCGGCCCCGCCGCCGCTGCTCTCCCTGCCGTCGTGGCTGCCGCCGCGCTGCTGCCACAGCTCCACGTGCGTGCAGCGCTGCCAGCTGTCTAGCACGGCGTTGAGCTGGTCCGCCAACGACAGCAGCTGCGCCAGCTGCTCGCTGCTGAGCTTCGGCCCCCGCCGCGCCTGCGCGCCGCCGCCGCCGCCGCCGCCGCCGCCGTCCGCGCCCCAGCCTCCCGAGCTGCCGGCGACGGCCGCGGCGACCTGCCGCCGCCAGCCGTCGCAGCGCGCGGCGGCGGCGTACGCAGCGTCGAGGCGCTTCGCCAGCTGCGGCTGGTCGGCGTGGCGCGCCGCAGAGACTGCCCCGCGCTGGGCGGTGGCGAGGGCCCCCACGTCCTCTTGTAAGTCACCAACACGGCGCAGTACCTGCGGGTGATGATGTTGATTCATCAGGACTTCACGGGTGAAATTCGGCTATTATTCTCCAGCACGGCCTCAAGCAGGGCGTAGGTTACACACAAAAATTGGGTGGTGCTGCTGCTGGTGGATGCACTGCGTCCTGGGAGGCGCTCCGCAGAGCAGCACGACAGCCGCACGCTATGATGAGCCGTCGCTTGCCAGCTGCTAGGCCACCTACCCGCTCCGCAATCACCCTGGGTGGCTCCACCTCGTCTGACCCCAGCACTGTGGGCCGCCCCGAGCCGCCGCCGCCCGTGGGCCCGGCGCCGGCGCCCGAACCCTCCTGCAGCGCCTGGCGCGCGTAGGCCGCGAGCACGGGCGTCGTGCTGGCCGGTGACGGGCCTGCGCAGGGAATTGGCGGTAGGGGTCGGCGTGTCCCAGAGAGGTACGCATTCGGCAGGGACAAGTGCGGCGACCGGCATGGCGACGGCCGCCTCGCACGGCAGCTGTTGCGCTGAGCAAGACGGCCCTGGTCACACGGTTCTAAATAAACATCCCAAACCAACGCATGAAGCGGGTTGAGACCCTGCATGCTCACCATCGAGAGGGTGTGCATAGGCGACCCCAAAATCGTAGCCGGGCGTGAACGGCGCAAACCGCGGCATGCCGGACCGCCGGGAGTCCCGCTCCGCGACCGCCACGTCGGACGGGCGCATGGGGGCGACCAGCGGCCGCAGGCGCACGCCGGATATGAGCGCGGAAGAGCGGGCGCCAAGCTCCTCTCGGCTGAGGAGCGAGTTGCAGATTTTCGGGGAGGGATGCGGTTCCACATTTTTTGGTTTTCTCGGCACGGCAACAGCGTAACAGTAGGGTACGCACGTGCCTGCCAGCCAGCCAGCCACGTCCACATTATGCCTGTCAGAGCCAGCGGCCCCTGCATAACATGATGCCTTTCAATTGCCTTATGTACGCTCACCCAAACAAGAAGCTCCAATCGAGCAGCAGCTGGGCAACTGCCGCCTCGACGCCAGGTGTTGACGGCTTGCTCAGGAGCCGCTCCAGATACTTCAGCACCTGCAAGGAGGGGGTGGGTGGAGTGGGACTTGGTCTAGGTAGCCGAGGTTGAGACAGGGACTCGGATACTTGCCCACTGCCCATGCCCAAGTCTGTCCCTGCTAGACTGCAAAATGGCATCTAGCATGGGGATCATCCGTGTTGCTACCTTGGACGAGGGGTGCGCGATCGCGTCCCTCACACCCGGGCCGCAATTGATTGCCAACGTGTGCAGAGCCTGGGGTAGGGGGGGGGGCGGTGCCAGCAACGTGCAGGGCATTGCAACTTGCTAACCACCCCGTGAAGGGTGGCCTGAAGCTCCCAACGTCCAGCATGTCAAAGCCTGGCATGGATTTCGCACACACATGCACAACACGCAATTGCAGTGTCCTTCAGACGCTTCCTCGACAGGCACCCTGCACATCACTGTTCTGCCTCGGGGACCGCCCCAGCTGCTGCAACAAGTGCCGATGCACAGCACAGCAGAAATAGTAACAGTCCACCATACACACCGTGAGCGAATTCAGCACCAGCGGCAGCACCTCCGACTTCAAGCGCTCCTTGAGCGTGTGCCGGAAGTCATCAGGCAGAGCGCCGCTGCGCTGCACCGCAGCGACGAGCCCGCGCAGCACCGACCAGCTGAGAGTGCCAGCGCGATCTTCTAGAAACGTGAGCTCCATGCGAGCACCTCGCTGCAAAACGCGGCTTCACCAGCTTCTATGTCGCTGGATCATGACTGTGCGAAGCAAAGAACACTGACGACCCATGCAATTCAATTGAGGTTTTGTGCGAACACATCCAGCGGCCTGACAAAGGCCGTAATCATTGAATCCAAGCTTCACCCGGTGCCACAGGTCCCTCAGACGGTGATCCTACTTCCTGGCAATGCGCGTCTGATTAGACATCCTCTAATATCACACGTACATGGTGGTCCAGGGCACGCGGTGTGTGTTGGGCACGATGGGGTGGGGCACTCCGTCACCGACGCCAAAGTCAACAAGTTCGCAGTGTTGCTGCTGTTGCCGGGGCTAATGAAGATGGCGGCCCTGGAGGGTGCAGGACCTGCAAAAGAAATAATCAACATATTGGGCCGCAGATTTGTGTGACACATATGGTCCAATCACCCTCTCTGCAGCCCAGCCTCCGTCAGGGCACGCTCTCCTGGCTTGCTGCAAAATTGTGCGCGCTGAACCCACGCAAACCTGTGCCAAAGCACCTCCATTGACACCTATGGGCTCAGCGTTCACGGTCCCAGGTACTCGGCAAATGCAGTGCCTGTGCCTCACCCGCAGCTCCCAAGAACGAACAAGTCTCCTCGAGAATTTGCCGGCACAGGCTCCCTCGGCTATTGCAACCCACTGCTCCAATCCTGTTATACGCTTACAGGTGCCCCTGCCTTGCACAGAGACCTCAAACCCTAAACTTTGCACATCAAACTTGGTGTGCATCAATTTGTCCAGGCTGTTGATAGGTACAGCTCATCAGGCGGTCTCTCATTGAGCTGGACAACATGAAACACCACGGCTTTGGGTTGAAGCAAGGCTGTGTGCGAGTGCGCCAGAGCGGGGCGGGCACCCCGATCCAAAGGATTTACCCATGATCAAAGTGCTGCAGCCAAGGTGATGGAGTCCATCAAGTCCACTAGATGGACTGTGTACCAATGACCGCGTGTTGTACATACATTATGTGCAGGCAGAGAACGCGCCACAGGATTGCGTGGGAAGATTTACACGTCTGATTCATGAATTCTGGACTCGCTGCAGTACCACGCTGCACTCGGTGCGCACACACTAGCACCACACCAGAACACTCGAGCGCAGTGCGTCAGTGGCGCGTGGCGCTGCACCTTGTTCGACGATGTTTCTCCATGCATGTGCACATGAGTTGCTTGAACAGCGTTTCTGTAATATATCTATCATTGTTTCGAGGTCCATCCGTGTTCGACGTAAGGCCAGATCGATCAACCGATCACGACGAGCAAGAAGCCTCCTGGGCTTTTCGGTTATTCTAGATCAACTAGTATCACCATTAAACAGCCTTACCTGTCATCGGAGGGGCGTCCTGCGCCATGGCTGTGACGAAGGACCAGCAGAAGGCCGCGGAGGCTCCCAAAGACGCCAAAGCGAAGGGCAAGAAGGATGTGCCGACTGATCCTGATGCAGACTTGTCGGAGGAGGACCTGGAGCTCAAGAAAAACCTCGAGCTGATGGTGCAGCGGGTGTCCGATGGCGACTCTGGCGTGCAGAAGTCAGCGTTGGACGCCATATGCAACGAGATCCAGTCTTCTACTAGCGCGATGAGCGCCGTTCCCAAGCCCCTGAAGTTCCTGGTGCCACACGTCGACACGCTCAAGGCAGCGTTCGACGCAATGGCGCCCGGCGCGGCCAACCGTGCGGCGCTTGCCGACGTCCTTTCCGTCCTGGCCAGCACTGTCGCGGGGAAGGAGGGCGAGCGGCTGGGGCTGCGCTACAAGCTTGCCGGCAGCCTGGATAACCTGGGCCAGTGGGGACACGAGTATCTGCGTCATATCAGCGGCGAGATTTCGGAGGAGTTCAAGGTGCGGCCAGCGGCTGGTTGGCGGGCCGCATGATGTTCTATTTATGGCAGTGGGGCTCGATTGCTTGTGGGCGGCAGCACTTTTGTCGTCCATGGACCGCCAATGGGAGTGGGGAAGTGATAGACGTGCCGCCGTTTCCAGAGTTGTGATGATTTGCCCACACTTGTTTCTACAATTGGTAGCACAGCACGGCTGCATCTGAGACATGGTGCAGCTGCTCAGGGAGCCATCATATTTCAGAAAGGCCATGTCACTTTGTTGTCGTACGGCACCGCCTGTGTTATGAGCCTCTGCCGGGCCCCCCCTGTGCGCCCAATCCCCCCCCACCCCCCATCACTGCAGGTGCGGCAGGAGGCGGGGGGCGATGTGTCGGACCTCATGGTTCTGGTGGACCAGGTGCGCCGAGGGTGTGCGGCCCGTTATAAACTGAGTGGTGCGGCCTGGCACGGGGAGGCGCAGCAGTGGCAGCCGGCCAGGCGACAAGCGGTTTCCCTTCGAAACCAGCCCCTGCTTGTCCCGCTGCAGCCGCGGCGCCCCTGCTGGCGCCGCTGCAGCCGTGGCGGGTGGTACTGCTGCTGCTGCTGCTGCTGCGGCCGCCGCCGCTGCCATGCCTTTGATGTTGCTTGTGCGCCATCCCTCACCTTGGCTGGCCCCTACCCACCCCCACCCCCACCCCCCAACTCCCCCCAGATCGCGCCGTACCATATGTCCCACAACGCCGAGCCCGAGGCGGTGGACCTGCTGCTGGAGGTGGAGCGTCTTGACATGCTGGAGGGCCTCTGCGACGACAAGAACTACGGCAGGTGGGTGGTGACTCGCGGCAGGGGAGAATGGCATGTGTGTGGCAGGGAAGCAGCTGGTTGGTGAGGAGGCAGGGGCCTAGAGCTTCGCAGATGACGGTATGCACGCAAACGCTCGGGGTGTCTCGAATCTGCAGGTGGAGGGCAAGTGCAGCGCTTTTGTGGTAGCTGCCAGTAGCTAACAAACCCAGCTTGCCATCGCTTTGTACCCAGCCGTGCTTGCCGGGCCCGTTGTTTAGATTGTCGGTTGTGCCATTCCCCCAGGACGTGCCTGTACCTGGTGTCGTGCTGCAGCTACCTGCCCGAGCCCGACGACACCGCGGTGGGTTTGACTGGCAGTCGTGCGCGGGGGGGGGGGAGGGGCTCGGGCAAATCGGCCCTCGGCCGTGTAAATCCAACCAACCCAGCAGCCGTTGGGTGTGGTGCCCCATGCGCTGCGTCTAGGCGCAGCCCGACAGCGGGTTGCCTCCTTCGATGTGCGGGGCAGGGCCCCACCCGGCGGCCAATAGGCGCTGCCAAATCCCAGAGAGCCGTTTCCTGTGGCCTCAACTCCCTGCCTTTCGTCATGCAACCCCGCGTGTTTCCCCACCGAAGGTCCTCGAGATTGCGCACCGCATCTACACCAGGATGGGCAAGCACCACGACGCTCTTAGGGTGGCGCTGCGCATCAACAGGTGGGCCGGGGCCACAGGGCGCAATTCCATTATGGCAGGTGGCCCCCATTTCGCTGCTGCACAAGCAGTCTGAAGTCCTAATTTTTCAAGGCACAGGCTCCTGTTTGCACTCAGGGCTTGAGCAGCAGCCCGCCTGTCCAGCTGCAGCCTTGGCTCACCAGCATGCGCCGGCTCCCTTTGTTGCCTTGCTCAGCCCGGAGGTGATCTCTGGCACGTTCGCTGGCTGCGCGGACCCCCTCGAGAAGAAGCAGCTCGCATACCTGCTGGCGCGGCATGGTGGGTGGGAGTGGGGGGGGGCATGGAGCCTTGGAGAGGGGGTATCCAGCGGGCACAATCAGGTGATGTTGGTTGCACCGTGCCGCGCCTGCAGCGAGGAAGTAGCACACACCTGCAAGGTGGCGCTGCCTTTATGTGCTTGAAGCTCCTGCATTGCAGAGCGTGGCATACCCCGCGCCGCACACACCCATCACAATCCATCGGTCGGTTTACTCCCCACATCAGGCCATGCCCTGGACTTGGAGGACGGCCCGGCGGCGGTGGAGGACGAGGCCCTCCGGGACAGCCTGCGGGAGATCATCAGCAACAGGTGGGGCGGCGGGGGGCGGGCTTGCACTGCAATGCTCCAGGCGCCCCGGACACTGCTAGCAAGCGCTGTTGGCAGAGCCTGGGACTGCCCTGGCTGCCGAAATTGCCACTCAGGGAATGTCACGTGCAAGACTACCGTATTATGTTCTCGTGTTTCCCCCTGATCCCCTGGGCTATCCCCCTGCGCTCAACCCCTCCCTCCCCTGCACCCGCCCTCCAGCAAGCTGTCGGAGCACTACCTGGCCCTGGCGCGTGATCTGGACGTGATGGAGCCCAAGGTGCCCGAGGACGTCTACAAGAGCCACCTCATAGGTGGGTGGGACACGGGGCGTGCACCTGTGTGCGGTCGTGTTTCCGGGAAGGGGCGAGGTGTTGCTGTGCCAGCACGCTGACCTGACATGGGGTGCTCGCAGCGCTGCCTGCGCCTGAGCAGCCGGCAGTAGCTAGGACGTGGTGCTGTTTGGGGGGGGGGATGTTCGACGGTGTGTGGGTGGGCCCCCGTTTGCCCCGGCTTCGCTGGCTCAACTTCCCACTCAAAAGTGGTCAACCTGCTGCGCCTGCGCCTGCCCCAGAGGGCCGCCAGCCGCAGGGCCCGGCGGTGGACAGCGCGCGCCAGAACCTGGCCTCCACCCTGGTCAACGCCTTCGTCAACGCCGGCTTCGGCACCGACAAGATGGTCACGCCCAGCAGCGAGGGCAGCGGCGGCGACAACGGTGGGCGGGCGGGGACGCCTGGCACCGTGCGGGAGGACAGCAGAGAGTGCAGTGGGGGAAGTGGGTTTCAGCATTGGTGGTATTAGTTGCGCGACATGGTCGTGGTTGGATTATGTCTGCATTATTTGCTAGCATAGCTGCATCTGCACTTCACATGTCTCAGTCAACCTGGCCGCCCAATCCCGATAATATTTAGTCCACTGGATCTTCAAAAACAAAGACCACGGCAAGACCGCGGCCACGGCCAGCCTGGGTCTGATCAGCCTGTGGGACGTGGAGGGCGGCCTCCCTGCCATCGACAAGTGAGGGAGGGTGCATTGCGCACAGCCGAGGCTTATTCTGCATTGCTAGATTATCTTCTCTCTTGTTTCCTGTTTCCTTTTTGAACTTGCCCCTGTCAAATGCAGCGCCTGCTGCACGCCTTGCAGCGCCCCGCAAGGTCGGTCGACCTAAGGGCTCCCTGGCAAGCCCATGCCTTCCGCCTCTCCGATCCCTTGATTCACCTTTCACTCTTCTTTAACAACCGTCCGCTTACTCTCAACCCCCACACACCCCTAATCACATGATCAGGTACCTCTACTCAACCGACCAGTTCGTGGTGGCGGGGGCGCTGATGGCCATCGGCATCGTCAACTGCTGTGTGCAGAACGAGAACGACCCAGGTGGGCGGCTCGGGCAAGATTATAGCGAAAAGATCTCGTTTTAAGAATCATCTTGCACAGCCCGCACTTCCAGCCCCTCGTGGTCCCCGCTTTTGCGCTGACGACCCGCACCAAATGCTGCTGGTCCCACCCACCAACCACGCATCGTACCTTGCCCGTGCCTGGCCCTGTCCTGTCCAACCCACGCCCGCCGCAGCCTTCGCCCTCATCTGCGACTACGTGACCAACACGGACCCCGGGGTGCGCGCTGGAGCTGTGCTGGGCCTCGGCCTCGCCTATGCCGGCACGCGGCGCGAGGAGGTGCGTGCCTGCTGGGCTCTAGTGGAACACGTCGCACCGCCGCACCCTCTTGGCGGCGCCTCAGCTGCCGGCCTGGCAGCAGGCGATGTCGCCAGCTTCCAGACATGCATGTTTGATTGCAGCGCCAAACGGTTGGATCACCCCGCTGACATCGCATCATCGCCAAATATACACACAGCAAGTGCCAATCAAGCAACTATTGATCGCTATAGTACCCTTGACCCAGGCCTGCCCGTGACCATGCGTGCTGTCCTCATTCAACCCCCGCCCCCTGACAGGTGGCTGAGCTGCTGGTCCCGCTGGTCATAGACACAGACGTGTCCATGGAGGTGAGGCTGACGACTGGGCTGACACGGAAAAAACACTAAAATCAGTGACAAGTATCGAACCCCGGTGCCAAGTGTGGCTGTCTTGCACAACCCAGCAGCAGCTGTCGCCTCGGCAGCCGCGCGGTCTGCCATCATGTTGGCATACCCCACATCGGGCCATCCCAGCTGGCCCCTGTTGTCTACCTCTCGCGCAAGCCGGCTGTTGCGGCAGCTACTTCTCTTCGGATCCTGTGGCGAGGCTTCATGTGTGCACCTCTGCAGTGTCCTGGTTTCACGACACGACACCTGGAGCTCAGCCCCGCCCTTTAACCCCTTGGCGCCGCGTCAGGTGTCCGGTTTTGCGGCGCTGTCGCTGGGCCTGGTGTTTGCGAGCAGCTGCAAGGAGGACCTGGTGGAGGCCATTCTCACGGGCCTCATGAGCAGGTCGGGGGATGTGTTGGGGTCAGGGGAGTGGAGAGTGGTTTGGGGTTGAGGGGTTGCCTCAGAATCAGCAACCAGGCAGTTGGCGTTTAGTGCGGATTGATGGGGCTGGAGTTGCTGATCAGGTAGTGGCGTGCTTGGATACTTTGCTTTGGCTCGCGGTGCTCAAACACCCTTAAAAAGTGCGGCCCCCATGGGTGGGAGGATCGGCAAAGTCCTCCTTGCCGCCCTCGCCTGATACCTCTGCCGTGATGACGCCAGCCAACCTGCTGCGATCGCTCGCGCTTCCCCCCTTCACCCTGCTGCAGGGGTGAGGCGGAGCTGTCGGGTCCTTTTGCCAAGTACCTGGTGCTGGGGCTGGGCCTGCTGTTCCTCGGCAAGCAGGTGGGGCCGCGTTGGCCGGTGGACGGCATATCTGTATGTGGGTGGGTGTATGGGTGGTGCGGGTGTTTTTGTCGGGACATTGTGGAAGCTTTGCAGGTGTCAGCAGGTCCTGCGATGTGGAATTGGGCATACAAATTCGCGGCTTGGCGGGTCAGCTGTGCGGCCTGTGACTGCGGGGCAATACGCTCTGCGTTGCAGGAGACTGTGGAGGCGACTGTCGAGATCGTCAAGACCCTCAGCGAGCGCGTCAGCAAGTGAGGGGGGCCCGGCTGACGGCGGGGGGACATGCGCAGGCTGCAAGACCAGGATCCCCGCCTGTCGGTCGGCGGGGTTGTGCTTGACGCATGAATCTGATGAAAGGGGGCAGCAAGGGAGAGAGGGAGGGAGATGCCGCCAGCCAAGCGGCCGGGCTTTGTGGGCTCATTGGAACCCTGCTCTCAGCACCACCCAGCCTAGCCCTCTGCACTGGAACCCTGCCGCACCGCGATGAACCCTTGATCCCCACCGCGCCAACACATTCAGCATGTGCCTGCGAGCCCACGTCGTCATTCGCAACTCATGTCTAGATACCCTCCCCCTGCTGCCACCCTCATCGCACCCCATCGGTCCTGCTTCGCCCCAGGTACTGCCAGGTGGTGCTTGATGGGCTGGCCTATGCCGGCAGCGGCAACGTGCTCAAGGTGCGCGGCTCCCCCCCCCCCCCACTCCCGCGCCCTGCCGACTCGTGGCGGAACGTTTTTCTTGGTTCAAGGGCGTGCATGTAGCGGGTGCCCCACCGCTGGCCCGGATGACGTCAGGCCCCGGCCGGCTCAGACGCTTGGTGCCGCTCTGCGAGCCGCTGCAGTGCGGGTGCTGGCCCCAAGCATCACCCCAGCCCAACCCCCTGTACCCGCATGCGACTAGGCCCTCGAGAGTGGGCTGCACCCCAGCCGAACCCCCTGCACCCGCATGAGAGCACGAGGGTGGCCCGCGAGTGTCGGCCTGCCTTATGATCATAAACCTTGACAATAGCATGCCCACCAATTTGCGCATCAACAGGTCCAGGAGCTTTTGGAGCTCTGCGGGGACCACCCCAGCGACGAGGACGACAAGCCAGACACCCCCGCAGCCGCAGCAGGCGCCGCCGCCGGCGGCGCGGCCGGGGCG